GCACACGCCAACGGTGAGTGACGAGCCTAGGTCTTCCCAGGGAAGACTTCCTTAGCGCGCCTTCGTGTTTAAAAATAAGGTCTAGCTCCTCGAATACTTGCAGCCTCTGGCCGTTAGAATGTGGTGCAGAATGATTTTCATACTCAAGACACATCGTTTCTCGAACCGAATAAGGAATTTTCCATGGTGGTCTTTCAAAATTTCTTAACAGATAAACACGGATTGACAAACAGCTCCGGAGTTTTAAATCAATTTTCAGCGTTCCGTCACCCCCCTCTCAAAAAAAAAGAGAAAGAGAGAACAGACAAAGGATACCTCTTAATTCTCTAAAGCTACTCAAATAAATGCAGTCTAATATAAGACTCTTCGCTGTATTCTTAGATAAAGAACCGTCTTCTGCATTTACCAAGATCCGTTATGTCGACGATAGAGATGATAAACGAGGAGTTTGCACCAACAGTGCGGTAGAAAGATGTAAAGAAAAAAAAATTCCTGTTCTTGGCTGATACAAATACATTTCTTTTTAGCTTTATGCGGTTGAAAACAAACGGCGTTGACGTATTGATTTTAATTGCCCGACTAGATTGTCTATAGATAAGCGTCTTCTTTCTTCGGTCTTCAAATGAATCACGAAATCAGATATATCCGAACTTGCAAAAGAGTCGTCGTAAAAGATGCATTTATTCTAGAAAAGGAGTTAATACTTCATAATATTTGGATCCATTGCAGTGTTGTAACGGGTATACTTGACTAGGCAAACCTCGACGTGTTAAGAATTGATTAAGGACAGACAAAGTTACTCAAGAATGGCCGTGACTTATGCAGATTACTGTTAACGAACTTGAAAGAAAACACTTAAAGTTTCAAGTACATATTCCGAGGGAACACTAACATTCAATTGCTTGTTTTCCTCCGAGAAGCGGTGCTCGCGAAAACGCGATTCGGGGGTATTCTCGCGGGTGTAATTAAGGCTGGATGTCCGCAAACAATAACTAGTGACATTTTTTCTCCATACTTTAATGCGGCCAGTAAATGAACACAGATGATGAACAAATTTTAATTGAAGGTGTCGAAATTAATCTGGGACTGCTTTGTTGTAGCGTCACCCCAAGTTCAAGTTTAACATTTATTCATTCACCACCTGGAACTTCATTCTCTGATTGGTCCAGAAAGGTAGCACCACTCTCTGTCAAGCAATCACATTCAAACCGTAAAACCATCACGACCTGGTCACCCGTGTTTCCCGCACTTTAGGCAGTTCAGTCGGTTTTATTTTGAGTTCTCACTGGCTCTTAAAGGTATTTTCGTATTTTCTTGATAGGCCTCCCTTGGTTTTGATTTAACGACACTCGATCCAAATTGGCTCTAACTGATAGAAACTTAAAAGCCCAAAACCGGGACTCAGACATGCGAAGCGCCCGCCCAGGGGAATGAAAATTTGAAAATATACAAATGTAGACAGACTGAAAGTTCCTGACCTCCTGAGTGAAATTCTATCCGTCTATAAGGCCCACCACTATCTCTTGAGATATATCTCTAAACGTCTTTTTTTTTTCTTTCAGGTGTGCGATCATGGTTTTTGGCGAAGCTCTCGTGTTGGCGTTCCTGGCCACAACCATAGCCTTGTTTGGAGTGTCTGTACACAGCATTTTCACATCGAAACACAGTTCGCTGGTGGAGTTGCGAAAACTTGAGGATCAGATGATGGAAAAATATGGCTGGAATCCTTCAATGCCTTACAATGCATACAACTAAAGATGAAAAGCGAAGTGGACAAATTAAAGTTTCACTGGATTTTTTAACTAAATACTGGCCCTCAGTTAGTGTAGAGAAACCGTGGATCGAGGTTGCATTGGGATTCATAGTTTCCACAAGCAGTTTTTGTACATTGCGTGTTAACCTAAACATCGTAGACAGACTGAATAGCAAAGATGACCTAGAAAGTTCTCGCCGGGCATAACTACCAGATTAACACAAACATTTTAAAGAAATGGAAAAAAAAAAAAAAAACTTTTATGCTTTACTTCGTACAACAAAGTAACGTGAACCAGTTTGATACAGTTTTCTGATCCTTAATAATAATAATTCAGCTTTTAAGGGTATTTGTCAGTCAAATGGTATTTGTAGGTTAAAAGATTTTAATCGAAACGAACTTACTGTCAAGATTAATTGAGATCAGTTGAGCTTAGGATCCGGAATTGAGTAGAGAGAATTGAAATAAAGCATTTTTCGAGTCGTATGTGATCCTACGCCTTGCGGCTTGCTTTCTCCCGCCGGAAACGCGACACACGGGCTTTTGAGGATAATCCTAAAACAGTTTACAGCTTTTCTGTAATTGCAACTGAAAATGATTATGCTAAGGGCTGGTTATAATTTTCTCGCCCGGGAAGTTGTGTTTGAGGGGCCTCTCACGTAATAAAGGGGATAGGTCATGCTCTGAGTTTGCGCAATGAGTTCTTCCACTTGTAGTGTCAAATCATTATTTATTCCCTTTTGTAATTGCTTAAAGCAGAGCTCGAGGCGATGCAATTTAAGTTGTTTTGGTCACGTACAATTGTTATGTTGCGAGATATTTAGAATTCAATATGAACCAACTTGTGCTCTGATGGTTTCCTGAGAGTCTCAGTAATTAAAATTTCTCACGACGAAAACGTAATCTGAATGTTATGTACTGCCCAATAGGGTAATAAATAAGAAAAAAGGCTAAGTCTCCCGCGCGCGTAATCGACGGAACAAAAAGATGACAGTTTTTTAGGGGGGGGGGGGGTTGCTACAAACCAAAAACCCAAAGACTGAAAACCCACGTAAAATGTAAAACAACATGGGGGGGGAGGCATCGCTACGCTTTGTGAGGCGTTGAAATACTCGTTATTGATAGGGTCTTCGTATTGTAGAAAAAGTAGGCTAAGATACTTATAACAACCGTGCTTAAGGCGACGTTCAAGGCAATCAACGGTTCTAACCTTAGTCAATTGGGAAAATGGGGCACATAAAAAAAAAAAAAAACCAATTTGCGGGAACTCGTTTTCGTCCAAGGAAGAAAAACTCCTCAAAACTGGCCATCTGAAATACTCTTCGTTCGTGCTTTTCTACTAATTGGGGACAGAAAGATCTTGTAATCGACGTATCGATAAAGCGCTTTGTTCTCAGTTCGCTTGCTAAATGATAAAGTTTTCAAAATGATGACTCATTTGATCCTGGGCATTCAGTTAGCAAAACGGAGCGAAATAGCAAAAGGCACAACAGTTGCTGAGAAGCAAAAAAAGCGGGAGACTTGGGTCGAGTCGCGGCGTAAAGGAATAAGGTTTGGTTCGGGTCGCTTTTCGACCCAAACCTCCCTCGGATTCATGTTCCCATGAACAAACAACGACACTCGAGTCGATGTGCTATGAATTGACACCTGCAGTGGGCCGTTATGGTTTTGTTTTAAATGAATGATTTTAATTCATGTACAAAAATCCAGCGGGTGTACTAAAAAATCCATTTTTCCTTTAAGACTCGACCGTTTACGTCAGACTTTTCGTCTGTAAACACCACAGGGGATCGACACAGTTCTGTCAGATAAGAAAAAAAAAATCTGTTGATAGCCGGCTTCAAATTAATCTTATCATTAACGGATCTCCAGGTTTTCAAGTTCCTTCGCAACGATATTTTTTATGTAAACATCAATAGGTTATTAACGAAGTAGTATTGCAAAAACAACCTTTTTAACTTGCAATACTGAAGATAAACCTGTAAACTTCCGTAGCACTGATCATTTACAGTTTCAACAATCGACGAACAATGCTTTTTCCCCAGTTTTAGGATTACAACACTCGAAATGAAATACGTAAATTATTTTACGATAAAACTAAAAAATTTGCAAATGTCAGAACTTAATGAAATATTTGACAGCTTTGTTTCTTTTTCAAACAGCTGAATGAGGGACTATTGTCTTTGCCCCCTTAAATTTACTTGATGTTTGTCATAGACGCGCAAGCCTTTCAACTAACTCGTAAGTCAAGGTGTCATTAGTTTTAAGACAAAACACCGGAGGGACTTAGAAAAAAAAAATATAACTGTTATTCAGAGAAAACACTGGCCAAGTCGGCAATAATGATAGGGTTCAAATTTACAGGTGAGCAGTGATAATATAGAAAGTGAATACATAGTGCCTAAGTAAGTCTCAGGATGCAAAAAAGATCCTTTTCTTTCATATCATGATATAAAAATAAATGAGAGCGCTAAAAGATTGAAATTCTGTATGAGCTATGAAATTCTGTATGTGTTATGTCCTAAAAGATGTCCAATCTCTCTGGTAAAATATATCTTTAGTTTCCATCTTTAGTTTCTATCTTTAGTTTTGTCGAGCAGTTCACGGCGTGTTTGAGTAGCTAACTTGAAAACATGATATATTTTAGTTATGTTTTAGTTTGAAAAGGATGCGTGAATCATTTAAAGGCCGAGGGAGAAAGGGGGAATAAATTGCCGTGGCAAATATAATCGGGATAAGATTATTTCAAGATAATAAAGAGATAAACTCTTGCAATTTCATCAGTCTTATGACTGTACCTCTGAAAATCTCTCTAATTCTACTTGAGAAATACCGAGAAGTGATGAAAAAAATTTTGTATTTGGAGTGAAGTAACAAAGGTAAAAACCTTAAAATCGTGCGCGTGTCCTTATTACTATGCTGTTTTAAGCATGCTGCGAGAGTGCAGCATTTGTGTATGTTGTAGGCCAGCTGGCATAACATTTCGCGATGGAGCATCAAGGTACGTTCAAGAGGTTTTTAATGCTTTTTCAAGGGGTTCTGCTCATAAAAGGCCATGATAGGGAAACCGTTCAACGCCTTAACCCTCGTGATCTGATTAATTTTCCCCTCTAGCTGCCACGCATTTCCTTGTGAATAAGTTGCGATAATTTCGTGTTAAATTCAGATTACAACTTCTACCTGATAAGTTTGAGGATTCTCATTGCCTATCCACTGGATAATGTTTGGATATCAGAAGGAGAGGATACAAGCTAATCCTTTCTTGGAGTGAAGGGTTGAGCAATAAAAGCGCGACGATAAAAACGGTAAAAAACGCCACTTGGTAAATGGTTTTGTGGCGGCCTTAATAACTCATAAAGAAATGCCACCCGCTCATTATGTTAAGACACCGGTTAAAATCCATCGCCCGGGGCGAGAAGGGGACGTTTCTGGAGTTGTGAAACTGAATGTATTATAAGACTTTCAGACATTCGTTGACTTGATTTTTCAGTTTTTAGCTGGATTCTCTGGTACATGGCGTCATCTGCAGGTATGAAAAATTGGTTCATTTTGTTACTCCCATTTTAACCTCATTTCCTGCATCGAAAAAGAATGTTTTTCTTTCCTAGCAACCCGATCTGGATCTCCTTGTTAATTATATATACTGATTACGTTTGAGATGTGGTTTCAAAATGATTATTTGAAACCTAAAACTAAGTTACTAAACCTCTTTTCTTGTATCTCGCGGTCATTTGAACGCCTTCGGCTAACTCAGGTTTATCGAGCAGTGGTTAAAAAACTAGTCAAGTCAGCAAACATCTCGGCCCACCCCACTACCTTTTACTCTCTCTTCATCCTCTATTCCCCACCCTACCCTCGGTGAGTCTCTCATGGTCTCAATGCAATTTACTTAGGATTCGTAATTTGTTGATACGTACTCTATCTAACAATGGCGCCAGCATCTTGCTCAGATAAAGGCTACTTTTGTTGGGTTTGGAGAACCACTGGAAAGTGTAAAAGGAGTTCCAACTATGCTGTAAACAAATGCCAAAAGACATGTAACTTCTGTCCTGTTTTGACAGGTAAGTCGAAATAATAATGTATGAATGATACGCAACTAAATCTTAGGATTCCATCAACGCAAAGAAAAAAAGAAAAGAAAAAAAAAAGTATAAAGAAAAAGTAGAGCCAAGACATGTTGTCAAAGACAACTGAATTTCCGAGGATCTGAGGAGACCCTGGATGATAAGAAAGGCTGTACAAGGGTACTTTATATCCTGACACCTTACTACCACCAAGCACTGGAATTTAATTGGAGCAAGCGGCGTTTGGCTGTATCTGATTGGTTGAGAAAATGACGCGAATTTCAGAACGAGCCACAAGGCGTTTTAGAATAATTTTCATCCATGTTGTTACTTCAGATACTTGTATACGGGGCGAAAGAATCGGTGATAGTTCTCCTAAATACTTAAAACGTTGTCAAGAATTCATTAATTTTATCAAAAACAGTGTGTGGGGATGTGGTTGCAATACAAAAACTCTGTACCCTCTGGGTAGTGTTTTCCATTGGCCGTGTGCCAACTCCGTGTGCCCTTATCGATCCTTGTTTCATAAGGCTCCCGTGCAATTGTTCAATTTGTAAATGCCCGTATGCGATCAGCTTCAGAAGCTTCAGTTATAGACGTTTATTTTTCCTCATAAAGTGTCTGGTTACAAAAGCGATTGAAATTTTGTTCAGCACTGTAGCTAATAAAAACGAATTTCTTTTTGATTTGTTGTAGAGGCCCCAAAACCCACGGATACACCACCCACGGTTACAACGACTCACCATACAACCACATCGAAGCCTTCAGAATGCTATCTTAAAGAACGTTTACCCATCAGCAGAGAACAAGTTTGGAACAAACAGCTACAAGGTCACGTGATTTATCACCAATCTGTTGTATCGGAAATTCAGTGCGAGGATCTTTGCCTACGGATTCCCGGATGTGTGGCTTATAATTATCAGTATTCTAAAAAGCGTGGCGAGACGGAGAGGGCCTGTGAACTAATGAACAGTGTGGTAAATGTCAAGAGCATCGTTGGTTTTAGCTTCCGACTGTTCGAGCGAAAAAGAACCAATAAGGTCAGTGGTGATGAACACTAGACAGATGTAACACAGCGTTTAAGCGAAAAGTGAGCGGCAAGAGTGACCACGTGACTTTGTTTTTCTCGCCAATTTTTCACGTTTGCCGGTTGCGATTTGCCGTTTGTATGTGAAAGTAACCTGGTTCGCGTTTGGCTGTGTGCGTATAGTTTTCTTCACTTTTTCTCTCACAGAGTAGAAGTTAATTGCCGAAATAGGGCACCAAAACTATTTCTTGTAAGTCATACCAGGGTGTCTTTGAATTCACCATGACGCGAGCTCACGGGAAGCTAAAGCAGCAAGGTTCATACTATTTTACGTGAAACGTGAAACGTGAAACGTGAAAGGGCAAGCTGACGTTTCCCATTTCACGTAAACGCAGTCTTAAATCTCTCTATTGAATTTGTCTTTCATAAAATTTCTCAGGGAGCTTTCACGTTAGATAAATATCTGTTTTGTCTCGGTTATTTTTCCTATTCCTTCCTCATTTGTTCGTGTCTGAATAACACATGAATCTACCAGCTTCAAATTCTGTGCTTTTTCTAATGGTAATCATTTTTAATATGGTTTCACGTAGGAACTTGGGAACGAGTTCTAGGTCTAGGGATGAAAAATCTTCGGAGTTCACTCGGGATTACATTGGAAGCGATCGGACTTGTATTTTTTTTTAAGTTACGACAACCACAGCTATTGCGCAGCTCGTTCCAGACCTAACACGCGTAACTGTTCTCAAATTGGCCACAATTAGAGAACGCACAGAG